ATTAGTAAACTTAATTAGAAAATAATTTTAATTTTTGATCTTTAAGTAATATTAAACTATAGATTTTATAATTATGATCTGGAAGTACTACTATTATACTATTAATTTACAGGTCTATTTCTGTAAATAATTTTAAAATTCAGATATGATTTATATATATGAAAATTTAGTTCTCAATATTTTGAATTATTTGTTTATTTATTTATTTTTCTATATATTAATTTAATAATTCAAAATAATTTTTTTTAATTAAAATATTTATTAAAACTAAAATATTTATATTTAAATTTTTTATATTTTTTAGATTAATATTATCATATAATAATAGATTTTTTAATTTTTAAATTTTTAGAATATAACTTTTTTTATTAATTCTTTAATTACATACAAAAATATAATATATTACATGAAATTTTATTGTTTTATTATTAATAACATTTTTAAAAGTTATTTTATATATAATTTTTTTATTTAAATACTTGACTTTTAACAATTAAGAAAAGTCAAGTAATATTTTATTATCTATTGTAAAAAAGTTTTAAATTAAAAAAAAATCTAATATATATATTTGAAATAAATTTTATTAAGATTGTTATAGTAAAAAAGTTTTTTTTAAATTATAGTTTTATTTTAAAGTTTTTAATATTTAAATAATACAATTTACAATATATTAAAGATGTTTGATTAATATAAAACATGTTAATTTTTAAAATATTAATGGATTATTATATAATTTCATATTTTATTTTTATCTTTTATTTTTAATAAAGTTTAAGTTTATTATACAGTAAATTAATAGAGACATACTGTATATCTGTATAAATAAAATAATTGAATTGCTTTATTTGGTTTTTAGTTTTACTTTGTGTTATATTCAACAAGAAATATACATTGTAGGATTATCATTTTAATAAATAATAAAAGATGGTTTTAATTTATAATTATGTTCAAGGATTCAATTAAAAATACAAGTGTATAAAATATTTCTATACCGTTCTGAACTTTTCATTCAATTTAATTATACTGTAAATAAAGAAATAATCTATGTCATGCTATTAATGATATACTGTATTTACTAAATTCCTTTTATATAAATTATTTTAAATGGTTAAATAATGGAATTTATCAGTTCAACTAATCAATCGCTATTCTATAATTAAATAATGTTTTTATGTAAAAAATCAATTGATTCATCGTATTTTAAGTTTGTTAGCTGAAACTTATGGACGATTTTTTGAGCTTGACATTAAAGCTGCGTTTTTGAGCTTTCTATTAGCATAATAATAGATTTTTTTATTTAATGCCGCATTCATTAGATTGGAACTCGAGCATCTCACCGTTGATGTTGTGTAATGGTGATTTTTCTTTTTGTGAATCATTGTATGCACTGTACGTACGAAGACAAATACGAATCGCCTCTATTTCATGTCAGGATATCTGAAAAGAATAAACAAAATTTCATTTGGCAAATGTGTATAGAAATTATTTGTTTGTGTTTGAATAATCCGGTGAGTTATTTACTGACATAATTATCGCTTAAACACGAATATAGGAGAGATATGCCGTAAGTTACCGGGACATCAGCCAGAACCTGATAATTAACTCATCAATAAATCCACATCCTAAACCAAATAGGCCTGCTTGCAAGGTTACGAAATGCGTTAATTTCAAAGGTGATATTCTCTTTATGGGTTAATTCAAGATTTATCAAGGTGATTTAATATATAATGTGGGGGGTAAACATATACGTACGGTAAATGCGTAGCGAGTGCCAATGGCATTCGGTCACTGAAACAGAATACTTGCTCCAGAAAATAAAACAATAACAACGATTTGGGCCTTTCTCGTAACTTGATCAACTAGATGGTGTTTATTCATTCTTTGACATGAAATTGCATATCTGGCGTGTATGCATACATACATATGCACTTGCATGCGCTTACCGATACCTACAATATAACGCGTACAGTAGATGTCATTTTACAGTATATACAATGATGGATTAGTTAATAACGAAGAAAACCATCCGTTACGAACAATGTTATTATCAAAAAAAAAAAAAAAAAAATGGCAAGCTTCTTCGATTTATTTTTAATGGCTCGCCTTCCTCTCGATTCAACCACTATTTCTTGTAGCTTTCTGAAAATATATATATAGTATGTGTGCATTTCTACTCATTTAAGCTCTTTCACGATTGTCACTCTGTTCGCCTTCTACCTCAAATTCATGAGGCTTTCTATTTTATGAATCGCGATAACGAACAGATGGGAAGATTTCTTTGAGTTTCGACCGGAATTACTCATTCCCTAAATTTTTTAATAAGAACGAAGGCGAACACTATTTCGAGAGAACAAAACTCCCCGAGAAGGTATGGTGCTTTAAATTACAATGGATCCGGAGAACAATGGTACCACCTATTCCAACAATTGAGTCAATCACCCTTGTAATTGGCGAAAACACTTACGTACTCCAAGCAATCAGCCGATTGATTTATTAGAGAAGCGCAGATTTTCATCTTGTAATAGTCATTTGATGGATTTCCCTGTGCGACCGACACTTTTTCGCAGATGGCGTAAATTCGCGAAAAAAAAAAAAAAGGCAAAAATGATAATTAATAATTCGATGTATAAACTGTTCGGTCTGAAACAGATTTATTACGGTCGTAGGTGAACACGTATGCCCAGATCACGACGAATGCACACTGCATATGGTTTATGTCAATAGAGTTCTAATATGGTTGTTTGTGGAATGTTCAATATACAGTATACGGCAAGACGAGAATAGTAGCAAATGTACTGTAATCGAGAGTGCACAAATGAAATTTTAAGGCTGCGCAATGCTTTCCATTAGCACCACATGAAAAAGCATGTTCGGATTGCTCACTGAACGGCCACAAACCTAACAGGTTTTCCTTAATTCTGGCAGTTAGTTCAATGTATGTGATACGTGTACAAGACGACTTACCATATCTGATCGGAATGTAAAAATATTTGTTGCAAATATAGAACAGGCAAATTGTTGAAATGAAATGTTGTAAACTTTCTCCGCATTTCCTGGGAAAGAATATTGTTGAAATTTCACGTGTTTAATTTTATATATAGCAAGAACGGTCTTAAAACAGATACTCCAATTTCTCTGTGGTTACTCAAACTACAATTCACTAACCTAAATTTCAATTACGGCAGATTTATTTCATGTAAACACAAAGAACCTCTTTCTTCAACAAGCCAAGCAAACAATATAGTAAGGATCAATCCCTTGCCTACATGCTGCCGAGTGTCCATTGTCAGGCGAAGCAATGATTAAACTTGTGACACTCGCTTCTAAGAATAGTAAAGGCCAATGTTCTGTTCACTATCACACAATTACATGCTATTATTATCTCCAAGAAAAGTTTCATGAGTGTCATTTATTAATTTCTCGAGTAAACCTTACTCAACGTGCAAAAGATGTTGCAGCGATTTCCCTTCCATTTTCCGGTCCTTACAATTCCTCGAGTACGCATATGTAGTTCCGTGTGGCTATGCGTAATAAAAAGCTTTAAGGTTTAGATATATTCCATCGCTTATTTGATGGGACGGTGCCGATTTTGCCTTTACATTTCGATATACGTGCTGTACGTACTGCGTATAGAGTATTAATGACGACGATGCTACTATTTGTTTGATGATATACAGCAATGGTTATCAGTACGTACTTGCACAGTGATCAATAACGAATAACGTAACCCTTGGATCACATCCCCCGCCCCGTTCATTTTATTAACTTTGCAACTGAAAAAAACAGTCGACCGTCAAATTTAGAACAAAATACGTATGTATTTGTCGCGCACACAATTAATCAAGGAGGTTCGCACCATGCACAAAGAGAGTTTCATACATTATTCATCGCTATGCACTTTTGCACTACATACGTACTATGTGCGCTCACACCCTTCACGCAAAAGAATTCTTAATTTGATGACGAGCATCTTTGCGTTATTAACATGCATCATGAGGGTTCACTTTAAAGTTATTGTTCAATTCGGAGATTCTGTATGGTCTACATGCAAATCGAAGTGGTGCTTTATATTAACATCACAAAAATTGGACGCATATATATACAGTATATATATATATATATAAAACAATTGGTTTTGGTGAATTACGCACGCATTTGTCACATTCATATTCTTCCAAACTGTTTCATACATCTCCATACATATTTTTTTTCGTTATAATTATCTATTGTGGCTTTTCACGTTTTCTCCCTCAATCTTTATTTTTTTTTTCCTCCACTCTTATTTGTATCAGTTAGATTTGCATCGTCGTTTTTTTTTTTTTTTTAAAAAAAATTATATTCAACGATCCCATTTCATGTTTCAGGATAGAAAAATACCAAAAAAAAAAAAAAACCTTAAAATATTTTATCAATTTATATACCACCCTTTATTAAAATCCACCTGCTTAAAAAAGTCTTGGACCAGGAGTTTCTTATTGTCAAGAAACAGTGACACGCTTTTTTTTTTTTGTTTTCCCGTTTTATGAAGGATTCGTGTATTCCATTCACCCTAAACCATTTTTATTTTCTTTCTTTATAAAATTTTTAATTCCCCTAATAAATTTAATTCTTTGAGATCTCCGTCGACGATATCACCTAAATGCACTCGCAAAAGGCTCAACAGTAGAGTTGAAAAAAAAAAAAAAAAAAAAAGAAAAAAAAATTAGAAAAGCGGACCAGCTGGCTGGAAAGGAAAAAAAAAATTAATTTTCTAGAATTCGAAAAATAAAATAATAGACCAGCAAAATCGAACGAAACGAAAAATTCTTGGAATCCCGGTCGTCGCCAAATAAATAAAATATTAGACGCTTCTGAGAACCTTGTAAATACATTTAGCACGCTTACCACCAAAAAAGAATCCGTTGGGTTCCAAACATTTAAACCAATTTTAAAACAATTCCTCACACTTCAACAAATACTCGAAAAGAATCAAATACCAAGCTTTAATAGTAAACATAATCATGACTAATACAAGCGGAGAAACTCGTGCCAAAGAATCTGCGGCGGCAATGCCGAGCACGGTGAAAGTTGGTAAGTTTGAACCTACATGGAATACGAGCCTCGAATTTACGAACGATTGTTTTTTGGAAATGAAAAACAATTGAACAATTAGAATTCAATTAATCAAAGTTGTAACAATATCGTACTCACGTAAAGTCATGTATAACTTCTTCTTTCGCCCCTTAATCTCTGAAAGCGCTTCGCATAAAACCCTCAATAACACAGAATTCGGGCAACTCAAACACAACGTCCATATCTTCAATACCTCACAAGACATCTGAACAAGAAGATTCGATAACGTCGAAATCTTTGATCGAAGGGCGTCCAATATTAACGCCTTCAACGGAAATACCCAACCAAGTCATATTCAAAACTCTTGCGAAATCGGAGGTCGAGGAAAGTGTGGAAGAGAAACTGGAGGAGGAGAAACAAGTGTACACGTTTGATCACGTGTTCGGAGAGGAGAGCACCCAGCAGGAGGTTTATGAAAATGCGATGGAAGGGTTGATCGAAAAGTTTTTGGATGGTGAGTATTTTTCATCGAATGAATTAAAGAGTGCAAGACACCGCGCGTGCGTTCATCACGTGATCATAAAAATAATAGATAAGCATCGGGAAACTACTGATCTTCGTTTTTCTCACAAATAACAGGTTACAATGTGACCGTCTTAACCTACGGAAAAAGTTCTTCGGGAAAATCATACACCCTGGGTACCACATCCAT